CGCGCTTATGCATATACGATTCAACAACAAAATTGCAAAAATTTGAAAAGCAGCATAACAGCATACGTTTAGAATTTCCGATACAGTCTTAAGTGTTGTCATATGTTTATATATATATATTTTTTTTAAGGTCCTTTCTCAGTTCATCATATCAGTGTTCAGTTTGCTTAACAAGATAGCTTACAAAACTCTTTTTCTTTTTTTCCTTATTAACTTTGCAAAGTTTATGCTAAGTTTCTAACAGTTATTTTTAAGCTCCTTTCCTATCCATCCTAATTTCAGCTTACAATTTCCTACCAAAACGTATTTTTAGAATCGCGTTTATAATGCGAATGAGTAAGAGTTGTATTTAAGTCGAAGTTGCACTGACTTCGAGAGAGAGAATCAGAGTTTCTGACTCGCCCACGTTTGCATTTTGACCACATTTCTCTAAGCTGTTGTTCGGCCGTTTTACGGTCCCTTGATAGCTTCGCTAGCTAATTCGATATTTTGGGGCCAACTAATTAGATTTATGTTAGCTTCGGCTGCATCTCTTTAGTTAAGCATTAGTGAAGTTTTTATTTCTTTCATTTTTGGGTTTAAGCCCAAGTGGAGGCTTTGCTGTACGCCCTGAGGAAGGGGCCGAATGTTATTCTTTATTTTGAGTAATAAAAGGTAATTAAAGGTAATTCTCGAGCTTTACGTCTTTGTTACTGAACTTACGCGATTATTCGCTTAGCTCACTAGGTTCAACCACATTTAGTTATTAGATAAAAGGGGGGAACGCCACAACTTTTTGTATGTTAAATTTATTAATTAAATGTCATTTTTTTCGCACTTAGCCCACATACAACTGAATTCTACAGCAAAATCACAAAATATTTAAAATCAACATATCTTTAGAATTTCCGATAGACAGTCTCGAGCGCTGGGGATAAAAATGTTTTACTCCTTACGGTATTGCCAATGGTTGCTTTCGAATCGTTGAGTTTGTTAATCAAAAATTCATTAGAGCTTAGCAAAATATGAAATATGTAATTCAAAATTCGGGCTTCCAGATGCATATGTTGGGGTGGAGGACTACGTTATGCAAAATTAAATGGCCCTAAGTACCGTCCTTTTTTCCCGGTGCAAGGAGCATATATACATGCATACGTCATTATTTAATTCCTTTAAAAATAATACAGGACGATAATATTTGGTGGGAACGATTCGAAAAGTGTTTAGCTGTTTATAGTGACAACGCAAAATCCCATTCCTAAACTAATATCTAATTCTGGTTAACGTTCTTTTGGCCTAAATTTTAATTCAATTTATTACTTAAAAAGCTGATTAAAATTATTATTTCAAGATCTTAAAATATTTTACATACTTTTCTAAATTTTATTAACTAAGATAATTTAAAAACAATTTTTGCTCTTCTCAAGAAAATCTTAAAAAATATACGCCTCATTTTTTTATTTTCGATCAGTTAGACACAGTATTGTGGGAGGGGGGAGATAATAATAACAATGCCAATTACTAAGAAGTGCCTTTATTGCTTTTCAGTTGCTCATTTATTGCTCATAAGACGGATACTGTATCGTGTAACCTACGACATATACTAATCTCAAAATTGAAGGTGATGAGAAAAAATATGCTCACTAAGTTAATGTTGCAACCAATGCCCAATGCTGCAATTATTTATGTTACTTAAATACAATTGAACAGAAAATAGCACTTCCGCACTTACGTTAGCGCTGGAAATACGCAAATTCGGTTATTGACACTGTAGCAATGGACGCATGTTGGAATTCCGGTCTCAAAGGCATCATTTAAATTAAGGTGAAAAGTGGGGAATAATCGGTAGAATCGAGGAAAAAGAAACACAAATGGAGGTCCCAAGATCTGAATATCCCTCACAATGTCATGTCAACAGTCTGGAGCCGCATTTTAAGCACTGGATCATTTGATAGGCAACCTAGCCAAAAACCATCAAGAGCAACAACTGCATCAGAAGACTGCGTTCTGTCGCTGTCGGCCGGAAGAAACCGCAAAGCTACTACAAGTTAGACCTTCAGGCTGCCACAGGAACTCGAATTAACTTTTCTACAGCCGCACGAAGGCTGGACGAACGAAGGTTAAAGAAGTTGGACTGTATGCAAGAAACCAATGGTTTGTGTCCCACTACTCCAGCTTCCAGAGGAGACCGTTTAAACGGATGCCATCGTCAGCTTCAATGGAAGCAAGACGACTGGGCCCGAGCACTGTCTACTTACAAGTTCAGATACAGTTTAAACAGTGATCCAGACGTGTTTTGATTTGGGCAGAGAGAGGAATGCCCAACTTGCCTTCCCTTTCTATGAAATATCCCGTTTCCGGGATCTCTGTTAATAGCTTGGAGATAATCATGACAAATGGGCGCACCGAGCCGCATATGTTTCAAGGAATTTCTGTAACCGCTCGGAGATTTGTGGACGATGTATTTGAACCCCAAGTTAGACTCTTTAGAGGTGCTGTTGACGCAGAGGTTTTGTTAATGGATAACAATGCTCGGCCTCATCGAGCATATGTGGTGTCAGAATGCTTGCAAACAGAAGATATCGCTCGAATGGAATAGCAACCGTATTCAGCCGACTTGAAACCGATTGAACATGTGTAGGATGCCATAGAGCGCCGAATTTCAGCGAGCCAAATTCCTTCTCGATCTCTCTAGGAGTTGAAAGCACTTTTAGAAGAGTAGTGTGCAATCCCATAAGACTTGATCAAAACAAAGTATATGAAATCAAGATATGAGGTATGCATATATGTCCAAAATGATCATACACCATACTAAAGAAAAATTTTTTCCACAAGAGGTGACTTTTTAAGTCCAAAGGGGCTTTGTGTCTGAAGGATTATTGTTTTTGTTTTGCAATTTTGCGTCGATTCACTACAAACGGCCATTCACTTTTCAAACTGTTGCCACAAAGTATTATCGTCCTGTGTTATATTTAAAGAAATTAAATAATGAAAAATCAGCATAAATGTATATATAGTCTTCGCATTGTGATAAAACAACGGTACATAGAGTCATCGAATTTTGAACTATGCAATCCTCTTACGAATACGGGCATCTGGAAGCCCAGGTTTGCAATTTGGAGTTTCTTTTTACCTTTTTCATATTTTGTAAAACTTAAACGAATTTTGATTAAGAAACTCAACGATTTCAAAGCGACAATGGCAACTATGTAAAAAAAAAAAAAAAAAATTATATCCAGCCCGCGAGTTTGTGTATCGGAAATTCTAAAGATATGCTCATTTTAAAACTATTTTGCGATATTGCTGCTGAACTGAATTTTATGGTTTAAGTGCTAAGAACGTGATATTTAAAAAATAATAAATGTAACACACAGAATGTTAAAAAAAAGCCCCTTTGGACGTAATTTAAAATCTGAAGCATTTCAGACTTTCTCTTTCTTTTACATTTGTTTTTCATCAGTAAAACTAATGTTATAGAACATAAGATTGATAGTCCATTTTTTTCCTCCTCAAATTCTAAAATCTAAATGATAGTAGAATACAGCGTCTCGAGTTAAAAACTGAAGATATCATCATAATCTATTTATTTATTTATTTTTGCTGTTGTTGTTTCTGCTAATATACTTTTTCCCTCTCGGAAAGAAAATCATATAATTCCAGATTTGCCCTAATCTCTTGTCAATCACTAAATTACGATTAAAAAAAAAAAAAAAAATTCTGAAAGTTTTCAGATTTTAAATTACGTCAGAAGGGGCGTTTTTTTAATGTTTTGTGTGTTACCTTTATTTATTAAATATCACGTTCTTTGCACTTAAACCATAAAATTCAGTTCGATAGCAATGTCGGAAAATAATTTTAAAATGAGCATATCTTTAGAATTTCCGATACACAGTTCCGCGCCCCGCTGGAGATAGAAAGTTTTTTTTCCCGTAGAGTGTTGCCACTGCTCGCTTTGAAATCGTTGAGTTTGTTACTCAAAAATTCGTTAAAGTTTTACAAAGTATGAAATCGACCATAAAACAAATTCCAAAGTTCAAATTTGTTCTTCCACATGCCCATATTCGTAGGAGGATTACGTCATTCAAAATTTGATGGCTGTATGTACCGGTATTTTATCACAATGCGAGAAATATACATACATTTACGCAAATTTTTCATTATTTAATTTCTTCAAATATAATGCAGGACTCTAACATTTGGTGGCAACAGTTTGAAAAGTGAAACAGACATTTAGAGTGATTCAACGCAAAATAGCAAAACGAAAACAATAGTCCTTCAGGGAGAAAGCCCCTTTGGACTAATAAATAAATTTGTAGTTTTGAAATATTTTATTTTTTCAAAATCAAGCTATTAATTATACGAACAGAAATCAGTATTTTTTTTTAAAAACTGAAAAATTAGTATTGTCTCTGTCGGATGGAGATGTCTCTACAATTAAGACTTTTTGTTTTTTTTCAAAATCATATAATTCTAAACTTGTAGGGGGATGAGTGAGTGTGTATATTAAATAATTTTCTTGCATTATTACTTTAAGACATTTTTCTTTTTTCATATTTATGAAGTTATTTATGATTTCCAGTCGTAAGTTCTGTTAATGACCGATATTCTTCAATTATGAATACGATGATTCATTATTTGCTAGTACTTTTTAAAAACAAAAATTAATAATAAAAAAAAAAAAACTTTTTCCTCTACTATCTGATGCTTTTGGATTGCCTTAATGATTGATGTCAAGGCTCTGAACTCAGCTTTGCTTCCTATTTCGAAAGAACGTTCCCTTTTACTCTTTGCTCTGTTGATAGAAGAATGGATAGATAAATGTAAGAAATTTAAAAAAAAAATAAATAAATAAAAAAAAAATATTGATAGCAAAAAGAGGTTAAGGTTATGATAAATATTTGAATATCATCGTAATACCTATTACATCATAAATCCGCACTTTTGTTCTTCAAGGCCAAATGACATAATTTCGATATCAAAGCCGCATGCGCAGTAGCTGCAGCTGCAAAGTGCGGAGTAGATACCTCGTGCTAATGTTTACATTTTCCTCTACAGAACTTTAAGTCGGTTACATCTGGTTCAGCCAACGGTTGAAAACGTGCAAGTTGAATCATCAGTTGTCACTTATGCAAAAAATATTGTAAAGGTAGTAGTTCTTCAAAAATTATTTTCGCGAAATGCATGGAAAATGCCATTATTTGTTTTATTTATTAATATTTTGATACAATACAGACTATAATAAATATGCAAACCATTTTAAGAATCTTTCGTAGTGTTAGTTTTCCTGTAGTGAGTAGAACTGCAATCCCCAAATCCCGCTTGCACTTTAGAACTACCTCTGCATGCTTCTTAAGTAGATCTCACTCTTTCACACCCAAACGCCGTCATGACTGCATTTTACCGGACTGTGTTTGGCCTTCTAACCTACCCCCTGCTACTGAATGGGGTTATGGTAAAATAGGTAAGTTCTAAAGTTTTTAATTATTGTCTTACATTCTAGTTTTATTGAGAACTAGTTGTACTTTTTCAAGGATTTCATTTGAATAGTTGTACTTTGTTTTAATGTATATGAACATTATTTCCTTAATTACTATTCCTTGGTGTGTATTTTCACTAACAGCTTTCTGTAAATAGAGTAAAAAAGTTTTATAAGAACCGTTTTAAGAGTTTTTAAGAATGCTTACTAAGCATGACAAAACATTTATGAGAACATTTTTCATAGTAGTTTAGAATTACTTTAAAATGTAAATTTTGCTGAGTGTTCTGATATTTTCCATTATACAGAACAACATGTGCTGAACAGTTTTCTACAGAAAAATATATGGACCAGTATTGGCTAGTTTTATATTATGAGTTGTTCTCACCTTTTATAAAAGTGTTCTTGTTTACAACCTAAGTACCGTCTTTTTCCGAAAATACGACACTGTCTTACTTATGCAAAAAATATTGTAAAGGTAGTAGTAGAGTATTGGTCCAAAATACGCGCTAGGGCTTATTTTCGGGGGGAGGGCAAAAATAAAAGTATATTTATATATTAGTATATTTATTTAGAAATTCTGTTCAAATCAGATTGAACAGCGTACCTGTCACACTGAAGGAAGGTGAATAACGACCCTCTAAGGGGCAACATAAAACACAAAGACTGGTGTTGTCCTTAAAGCAGATATTTTTCCCTTTGCACCCAACCCAACCCCACTTCCACTTCCTGCACCCAACCCCAAATCTATTGCAATCTATTACAATGTAAATGTAATTTTTAATTGTCAAGAAAAAGCTTTATATAAAGTAAAAATAAGGGCATTAGCTAGTATTTGAAATGTCCTTGAATTGTGTTTTATCATTTTCTTGATGGCCTGTAACAAAAGAGAAGAATTGAATCATTAAGAATTGAAAAGATAGCATTCAAATCCCTTTGTTCGTTAATAGAAAGGCAGAAAGCTATTGTGGATCTCATAAGATATGTTGAGGGGGTAGCTGTTCGAAGAAAGTGCCCCCATCTTTTACTTTCCTGAAACAGCCCCGCTGTGATCCTAATGTGACACCGCTGAGAAGATAAGTAACCCATCAATCACCCCTTTTGATTTTCGACTCATTCTGTGGGGGTTGGAAAAAAGTTGCTGCATCGAATGTGTCTCGGGGGTTACGGTTTAGCCCAAATTTCACCCCGACGAGAGTCTGCTGACTCGAACGGATGACGATGCCTTTCCTGTGAACGTATCTCTCTTGGGGCAAACGGTGAACTGGTTAAGATAAATTCCAAGAATTTGAAACGAACTGTAGAGGTAAACAATTAATTTCTCGGAATATTTTGTTTCAAACATTTCTCTGAAATACGAGTATTAGGAAAGCTAAACATATTATTACTTATACTTAATAAATCGACAGCATTTTTTAATGAATTCTTTTTGTCATATTATTTTAACTAGGGATTATTTTCGGGGGATGTCTTATTTTACAAAAAGTTCCGAAAATCACGATAGGGCTTATTTTACAGAAAGTTTCGAAAATCATGATAGGGCTTATTTTCGGAGGATGTCTTATTTTCAGAAAAAGACGGTATTATAAATAAAATGTGGGGAAAGTGCAGAATCGCCCACTGCTTGGCGTGTTTTTGGGAATTGCACATACTCAGTATCCATGTACACATTGACCTATTTTCACTTAAAAAGTCAGAGAAAATTTACAAAAATCCAATTCTTCTTACTCTTGTAAAAAGTGGCAAACAAACGCCAAACAAATAAGTGGGCGATTCTGCACTTTAGCCTAATATGTTTTGGTTCTTCCTTATTTTAGGAGTCCCTGACCTTATTTGTTGACTTAAGGATTGTGCCAAAATCTCTACTATGGTTTTGTGAGGCATAAATGTAAAAATAAATTACACCATATATAATAAAATGTTACTCTCATATTTCCTTAGGCCCACCAGTGGCCTAGCGGTAACATTGCTGAACACTGGTAGTTCGGTCTGAGGTTCGAATCCCGCAAACGGGCTGGCTGCATGGGCGTTTTCGTGGTTTTCCCCATGTGTAATGTGGTATATGAGCCAGTTTCCCTTAGAAAGTCCTCCATGAAGGCATCCCTCCCCTTAGGCAGATAGCCCTCGTGTGCTTTGCCATAATTAAATACACCAACACCATATCTCCTTAGACAGGGGCATAGCTAAAGTTTCCAGCGCCCGGGGACAACTGAAGAATTTGCGACCCTTTCTGTGTGCCAAAAATGGAAAACATTACATTACAAAATTTCGTACCATCAATTTGGCGCCCTTTGGATGTTGCGCCTGGGAACAGGTGTCCCCCTTGCCCCACACTAGCTACGTCACTGTCCTTAGAATATTTTCAGTAATCCTTATGACAAGGCCATATTTCTGAAATTGCTCTCAACAATTCAGCAAAAGCACAATTTTTTCCCCTATGTATTTTCTCCACCAAAATTCCAAAAGCTAGTTTGAGATTATGCCGAGCCATGCCCCATTGTTTTTTTATTATGACACTTGGCTAAACCATGAATTTGTCATTAACGCATAATTTCATGTTGTAGCCATTTTCATGTGCTTGTTCATCAGATAAAAGACCTCTTTCTTGAAAAAAATGATATCACATTCACCTCTTGATGTGGTGAATTAAAAGGTTTTTAGCAACATATTTACAAAAAATAATGGAATGTTTTTAAAGAACCAACGCGAAATCGAAAACCTTCGCGAAAATGAAACACAATGCTAATATCAGAACATGTGGTGAGAGCAAAAATGTAACATGATGCTAATGTTAGAACCATATGGTGAGATTTCTCGGTCGATTAAGGATCCCATCTAGGGGGCAACTATAATAAGGAAGTCCCAGTGTTTTTAAAGTTGCCATCTTACTTCATTCTTTGTTTAATGAAATAACTAACATAAATTGATATCTCATATGGTTAGTAAACTATCACGGTTGAAATGAGCAATTGAAAGAACATTATTTAAGTTGGTGTCTATATCTTTTTGTAGAATTTTTTTTTGTGTGCTGAATGTTGTTCTGTAATGCTAAAAATCTAAATGTTTATTATGCTTTAATGTGAGCAAAATGTTTCATATATTCAAGTGCAAAATTCACATAGATATTGAAAAATAAATGCTCTTCAAAATATCTTGTTTCTGCATCCAAACTGAAACTGAATGGTAATGAAATGGAAATAGTGGGTACTTTTCTATTATTGGGACCACATTCAGAAATATATATTTTGTGGGTATGTATATATGTACATGTGTATGTGTGTGTATACATACTCATACATACATTTCTGAATTTGGTCCTGATAACATAAATGCACCAAATTTTGTAGTAAGATGTAAATTGCAATCCTGTATAGCAGTGGTCTTGAACTGGCAGCTCACTAGCTATATGTAGTCCACGAATATATTTCCTGAGAACTAATTAACATTAATATGGCAACAATCTGATGAGGTTTTTTTTTTTTTTTTTTTTTTAATTTAATGATCCTGCATCCAGTTTTACATAATTTTCCTTACCATAAGAAACAAATATGAGTAACACTCCAAAAAGCCTACTTATGGGGCTAATTACTTAACACTGTGATGTAAATCTTAAAGATTTGAAGACACAGATTTGATTAACCTTTTTTCCTGCTTTTCAAAAGATAAATAGCCTCAGTTACAAACTTTTGCAGTAAGAAATGTCACTTTGGTAGGGAATACATTTATATGTGAACAGTTTTTCTGTAATTAAAAGAACCAGACTGATTGATGGAATGCCGATATAATTTATGATTTCAGAAATTATGTGGAAAAACTACATCCCAGCTAGTAATAGTCTTTTATTTAGTTGTTCAAGTATTTAATTTAATTTCCTTTAATTATGTAGTTGCTGCTCAGTAATAAATTCTTATTAATAAAATATTGTAATCAAATATTAAAATAAATAAGCTGACAAAAAAATCATAATTTTGATATTTCAAACATCTTCTGGACTTTTTGGAGCATTATTGTTATAGCACTATATTATGGAAACTTTGGGTACTACATTGGTACTTTGGTATTATTGAAACAATTTTATATTATGGAAACTTTGGATACTACGTTGGTACTTTGGTATTATTGGAACAATTTTGGCAATTTTTTTTTTTTTTTTTTTTGAAGAAGAAGAATGGTAATTTCAAATTCTGGGAAACAATTTATAAAACTACTTACAAATAAGTTTTTGTTTCTTCATTCTTCTTTTTTCTGCATATCTTCCACATGTAAATACATCAATCTACCTTAGTTTTACCAACCATTTCTAACTGTTCCAAGCAAATCAATAATTATTTAATTAAATCAATAATTAACAAAATCAATAATTATTTACTCTAGCAGTATATAAATCTGACTGCTGTAGTCAATGGCAGACGACTATTCTTGAACTGATTACTGCATCGAATGCCAATGTGTTCGTTACATTTTTTCACGTTGCCTTTCCAAAAAGGATTACATCATCAAATGTAAATATATTGGAAAACATTGCATTTCTGAAAAAATTTCACTGAACACTTTTTGTTTGCAAGCAAATCCTACAAGCACATATTTCAAAATTCAGCTGAAGACCAAAAATATTGCAGTTTGCCATTAGAGCTGTTAATGCAACCAAAACAGCAGGTATGAAAATGGTGACATTACTTATTCACACTTTCAGTTATCAATATGGTTACTTGGAGAATTATTATGTGGTTGTCACAATTTGGTGACTTCTGAAAATATAGCAACTTCTACCGAGGTGGTTACAATAATGCCAACGTACCGTTGCACAGTGGTCATAAAAAATTCGCCCTGATTTATGAATTCCTTATGCCCTATCTGCTCAACCAATCAAAATGAAATTTCATGTAAAGTTATTTGAAATTATGCACTCAAGATTGTAATGATTTCAAACACTAGAGTTCTCACAGTTACGCTTACAGTGAAAATTTTTTGAATGGCAACATCCA